TAGTGCAAACCAAAAAAATTAAATTAGCCATCCTGATTGAATCTCTGCAAGAAAGTGCTTGTTGAGTCACTAGGACAAGTAAAAGCATGAATCACTAATTCTGTTAAAGAATTTAATATCACACAAACTACGAGGTGCTTAGGAAAATTTTGCAAAATAAGACAACAGTCACATTTCAGGCATTTCTGACAGTGTGAGTGGGGGACTTAAGCTGTCCAAAAAGGTTTACTGAATTTACATGTTTGGATCCTTTCTTCTTTATATTTTCAAACTTTCTCAATGCATTAAGATTCCTTTACAAACTATAAAGGTATATACTCTTAAGTGCATTGATTATGATGTTTTGGAAGAAGTCCCAGAACTCAGAGAACCGTTCTGTTATATGCCAAAATATTTTCTTGGGAATACTAGAGTTTTTCTAATGAGGTAGCACACTACAGACATTTTTCAGGCCATCTATTCCTCAAGTGATTTAGGCACATGAGACCTTAAAGCTGTTTTGAATTTGGGAATCACTTTGAAACTTTAAAATATTTTCAAGCAAGTTCTGTTGTCTAAAGACCAACATTTCATACCTCAGTGGTTGGTTTATCAGCCACATTTCCTCCCAGGCAGAAGGTGCTGAGAGATAAGCTCCTTTAAACGCCCGCAACCTAAAATACTGCCAGTACTCTGAAATACCAGAGTGTGTGCCCCAGAAGAGAACACCACCTGTGCCTGTGTCACCCTGGCAGACACTGTGGCATTTTAGCATAAAATCCCTCTCCAAAGCAGCCAGGCTTTGGTCAGGCAAGCCAGACTGGTGGGGGAGAGCCACCCTGCTTGGCACTACTGTCATGGAACAGGAATCTTAGCTGGTGGTAAAACTTAAAGCATTCAAAATAAAAAATGATAGATGTATTTTTCCTTGTTAATATTTTCTTTTTCTCAAGTAATCTGAGAGAAAAAAGGTTGTTTCTGAAGCTGTGCTGTGGGTGTATCTTCTTGTTCTGAACCACGCAGTGGCTCTGAGGGCTCAGCAGCTCCAAGGAACTTTGTTCACACATTGAACGCTTTGAGGCCTGGAAAGGCTTTTGGCATAACTTCAATGTTCCGTACAAAATGTAGTGATTTAAAAAATAATAATATTTTTTTTAGAAGTCAAAAGAGGACCTTTCTTTCAAATCATGCCGATAACATGCCAATAGCATAAATATTGCAGTTTTGTCACTTCTATCCTTAGTGATCTACAAATGAGTAACTATTTTGTTCAATTTAGCAAGGCCTCTGCTATCTCACCTCACAAAATATGTAATATTGAATTCAACTGAGGTCCACTGTTAATGTATGATCAATGTTAAAGTGTAAAAGGCAGAGAATCCTGAGTTGACATCAGGCACAATAAACATTCGACATTTATGGCAAGTAAATCTTACCACTCCCTGTGGTTTGATTTTAATACAAATTAATCACATTCATTTCAAACTCCTCCTTTTTGACTTCTATTAAGCTTCCCTACTCTGACCCACTCCACCCATACCTCACAGCTTTTCTTTCTATACAGAACTCCCCCTGGTCCCTATATCCATAAATGCTTACATAATTTACATTTGTCACTGAGCCAGTGGAACAATCACAGTATCTCTCTTAGCCACCACAGTACTTGCAAACAGGCTGGACATCCAAAAAACTAATTTCCAGTTTGTTCTATTTCCAGAAATAAAAATATTATTTACCTCAGTCAAAAACTTTTTCATTAAGTGTTTTTCAAAGTTCCATACGCACTTAAAGGTTATATGATACATTGATTCTTCATAAAAAAGCCAGGCACCTTAATGCCTAACAGTATTGCTACATCATAGCACACAAGGAATAATAAATAACCTTAAAAAAAATCCAACTGGTCAACATATAGAAAGCAAAGATTTGCTTATTAGAAAGTAGTAATGATGTCTTATTGGAACTAATAGTGACTACAAAAAGATACAGGTCTGCTTTCAAAGGGAGGAAAAAGTGACATAAAGAGACAATTTCCATCCAAAAGAGAAAAAACATTGTATGGGATCTTATATTAAGAAGTTTATTCCTGACTGATCCAACAGATTAACAACAATCTGGGTTCTCTGTATTTCACAGCTGGGTGTCACCCCATAAACACAAGCCCCATACAACTTCCTTTTTAGTAATTACAGGGTAAAAATAAATAGATATATTAAAAAGGTTACTTGATCCTGCAAACATAATGCAAGATAGATATTTGTTAAGATTACTTAGCTCACTAAAAGAGGTATAATTTCATATTTTTTATGTGTATCAATCTGAGAGACATATTACAGAAATACACAAGCAATCCGTTTGCTCAGTCATAAATTATTTGATGGTTTTAGAGAGAAAGGGAAATGAAAATTTTAGCATGAATAAGCCAGATTGTCACAGCTCACTGAGAAGAAAAACGATCATGAACTAGTGGTATTTTAAGAAGCTGTTATAGTTGGTGTTTTAGAAGTACTGAGGATGTAGTATCTAAACAAAGAATTTGGGTGAGGGAGGAAAGTAAGTCAGTCAGTAAGTAAATAAAAGTGGCTTTGCCAGCTTGTGCTCCTTATCACTAAAAGAAGAATCAAAGGTATCTCTCAAGCCACAACTGCTTTATACACATTCTCCCTTTGCAGCCTCTCTTTGTACCAGTGCTTTCAGTCAGAATAGTCAACAAGTGTTATACAACACTGATTACTCAAATAAGCAAGTGAGATGTAAAAGGAACTTCAAATTTGTCAGTGTGAAAAACAGATGCTGAAGATGAACTGAAGATACAGAGCAATATCAAGAACATCAGAAATATGGAAACGCAACTGAAACAAGCTACCAATCTAATTATTTAAAATGCACTTCAGAGACAAAAGGAAATTTTACAAAAAAACACACTTGAGAATTGGTTAATAATTTTAGCTGAGGAATAGTACTGTAAACTTTTTAATATATTTGGTAATTCGGGTTCCACAAGTAAGACAGTATGTGTCCCATGGTCATTAATTCATGAAGAAAAAAGCAGATGAAGAAAAACAATGGAGAAGACAAAGAGTATAAGACTTTAGGTGGATGGATGTCTTTGGTATGTAAGGACACACTCTGACAAAAGCACATACGTATCTTTAGGCATGCAAGCAGAGAGCAAGTCTGGCTCTGATGATATAGGACAAGAAGCGAAAACAAACTACTTTGTGAAGAACATTTGCATAGTGAAACAAATATCCATCATCGGTTCATCGGTTAATCAAAAACCAGTAATTTAAAAATAACCACTGTCACCCACAATTTATTGTGAGTGTTCTCCAATTTGAAGCATAAATCAAAATAAATTCAAATAAAATACTAATCATAGATGAGGCGTATTAGATCTGTAATATGACAGCTTCAGTGGCTTAGCATTTCCTAAGCCTGGATGACAGCATATTTGTTTATGCAGAGTATTATGGAAATCATCTATTGAAGGTCAAATCTAGGCAGATGTGCAAGGATTCAGAATGAATAACCAAGAACCCAACATCTAAAGTAACTTTTTCTGCCATAGTAAAAGAAGTTATCTGGGCAGAGATCCATTTCCACTTGGGTGCCAGATACAAAATAAATCCCTTTTAACACCTTGTAGTGTCTGTGGCTGGCATTTATAGTGCATGACAACAGTTGTTTTGAGAAGCTAGGAACAAAACCATAAAGACTTACCACAGAATTTGAACTATTTGCAAAACCACTGATATATTTAGTAGATAAGCACAGATTTAGATAAGGGCTACATAGAAGACAAATTTTTAGCCTAAATACCTTAAATACGTTTACATACACTGTGTAGAATAAGGTGCTGTTTTGTTGCAGTTACAAACATATGGGAAGGTTTCATACTCACAAGTTTTTGTAAGAGCTTAAAACCAAATAACCAACAAACCTCAAGCTGTTGTGCTACTGAACTTGTGCAGAACTCATTAAAATCTGTTGAGAAGAAATCATTAGCGTGCATGTAAGCAACCAGTCAAGGTCCAAGGATCAGCACCAGGCAGCAGTTAATCAGCCCCTTCAATGATGAGAAAGTTCAGGAGGTGCTAACTCCCTCCCACTCCTGCACACAGACATGCTTTTTGCCTCCCACCCCTGTTTGAAAGGAAGGTGGAAGGTAAGCTTGTCTGAACTGACACAGCTAGGGGTTTCTGTAGGACTGGGTCTCAATGGTTTACTGGGAAGCCTGAAGCAAACACAGCCAACCAAGCAGGCACAGCATTGTATGTCTCACTCTGGGGAAAGGGTGTACCCATAAATACAGATCAAGCAGAGAACAGTGGAACGTTTATCCACAATATGAAGAAAGCTGACGTGTCCTTACGAATACACAAATATAACCCACAGGTATAACTCTCAATATCCTTCTCCAGGCAGTGCAAACAAAACATTTTCTTTACCAGCACAGTATCAATGTTAGCGGGCCTGAGGGGCAGACCAAGGAATTGCTGACATATGTCTGAAGTCAGATACTAGAGGCCAGAGTGACTTCACGAGAGCATACATCCCCTACAGCAAACACGCTAGGTTTTGGGAGAGGATGCAAAACGAGTCACTTGTAGCAGATATTACTCTCATTTTTTGATAAGCTACTGAAGAACATGCCGACACTACATTTGAGAACAGGTGAAAATAATAGTACAAAGTGGCTGTTCAGCGTAGCACATGTCCTTTTGCTCTTACCCTACTTATAACAACACTAAAAGCAATAGAGGACTTAGGTAAAGTGGTGAGGAACACACTAAGTGACAAAAAAGCTACCTTATTCTCCTTATTCTGAGGTGAATAAATGTATTTCTACATGCATTCTTAAATTTTCTAATGTAAACTGTAGAACCAAGGATCTTATGTCAACTTTTACCTAGCTGGAAAGACAAAAACTGTGCAGCAATTGTAGCAGTTCTATGGTGATGACAGTTTCAACATAACTTTTTTATATGCTCCAGTCACCAAAAAAGCAGTTGGTTTACCTCTTAATATTAAGTAATGCCCAAGGTATCCCTGTGGGAGTGTTGAAAGCAGGTAGCAATTTCTCTCCAAGCTCTACTGCCTTCTTTCGGAAAACCTGGAAATGAAGAAGAAACAAAGTTGGAAAATGCATTGTTGCTGCCACTAAATTCATTTAGATAATACTATTATTGAGTGTATGGTACAAGTCATCTCAGCACAATGAAGCATCTCTGCTTTTTTAGACTGACGTCAAAGGAACGAAGCAGCATAACCTGTTTTCCATTACACACAGTAACAGAAGAACATGCACAGCAGGATCAGACAGTGGTGATCCCCAGGTGACCTGCGTCTGGCATGACCAGCATCACGCTAGAGACATCAGCACAGCCACATCTCCTCCGGTTTGCGCAGAGCTGCTTGCGTGCTCCCCACTGTGCCTGCCAGGTACTCTGGGGTCAGGGAGAGGGCTGCTGGGTGGGCACACTGCTGGATCCAGACCCACTCGCAGGCAGCTAGCTCCCTGTCCCGAGCGACACCTCCTCCCAGAGCGGTGGGATGCAGCCACAGAAAAGCCATCTCTCCTCTTTGTCAGATTGATGAATGGTGGCTCAGCATGCTCTGGGAACACAGGCTGTGTGACTGCCGTACTGCAAATGTGCTGTATGGGCAGTCTATGGCAAAAGCACCGCTCTCACCCCTCAAAAAAAGAAAAATATGTTTTTGCAGCACCACAGTCTTTATGGACTCATCTGGTTTATACCCAGATGGTATCAATGCCACAATTAATTCAAAAATTGGAATATAATCTCACAGATACATGAAACTTAACTGATCTTTAGCACCTAAAGGGGTTTCAGCTTTCATCTTAAAAACATGAGGAAGAAAGACCTTAAATGCTTAACATATGCCCACAAGAAGGACAAACAATTTAACATCAGGAACTTTTATGACCAACCTAATAGTTACAAAGCTAGAACAAAGAGGATTTTACTCTCCTTCAACTGCCAGCCCAGCTCAGGTTACATTAACCTGACTTTCTGAGCACTGAGTGCTCTAGTAAGACAGTTTTTAATTAGAAGCAATATTGTTCCAACTTAAATATAGAAACCTATTTAGTGGCTTCAGTATGCAGATGTTCAAGGCCTATTTATTTGGAATTACACTGGGATCCTCCACAACACTGAAAGGGATTATCCCAAGTGTAACAGCCAAAATAGCAAAGTCACCTTCATCATTCTCTCTAATAATTGCTCCCTTCAATTCATTTTTTTTTTCTCTGACAAATTTATGATTAATTTTTACTTATTTATGTATTGGAAATCAACTTATACATCTGATGCATCTCATGCTGTAGTCTAGTAGAGTATAGCAAATTTTTGGAGAAGAAACAAAATGCATGTATGTTTATGGGAACACATAAATAAAGACAGTTGCTGGTCAAAACAAGGTAATGAAGAAATTTCTTTCCACACAAATAAATACAAATTACAAAATACCACTTTCTAATGGCCACTTTGAGGAAAGGAACTTATTATTGAAAGATACGTGATCAGGAGAGAATATAAAACTCTGGGATAAACACATTATGATAAAGAAGCTCCAGACTACCCCACAGTCTCTTTATATGACACAGATCTCAAAATTTCTGTGACAACAGTCCAAGATTTAGAATTACAGTACAAGATATTTTAAAGGAGGTTAAGTAATTTGAAGCTAAATTATAACTGGAGTCTGAAAACTTTTTCAGGTGGACTGCATGTGAGTGCTGGAAGAAACTTTGAGGAAGGCAGCAGGGAGAACAACTTGCTTGGAAAGCCCTTCATAATCCGCATTGTTTCTGACTTCCCAGTTTACCAATGGCATGCATTCTGTTTATAATTAGTTACGGATTTGCGATCGTCATCCAGCATATGATTCAGTCTCCCCAAAGGGTTAAAACCTTGAAGGACACTCAGAAACAGTTGGTGCAGAATTATCGCGTAGAGTTCCTTGAGAGGAGCAAGGGACAGTTAACCCCACCAGCAGCATACAAGCTTTCCCCTTGTTACACTACACAGTCACATTTTTTCACCTTGATCTGTTGAACCCAAACCTATGCTTTGCTCTTTCAGCACAAGAGAGGTCTCCTCAGCCTTTCACAGCATATGGTGCGATCAACTCCTCAGTTTACCTTAGCACCTCTGCCCCAAAACACTGAAGTATTATCAGGAGAGCAATCACTATGATCCTTCCATACAATGGGCACACACAATGACCTCAAATTTCTGTAGAAGCATCTGCTGCACAGCGTAAAACCCTATCTTTTGCCATATGTAAAGGGGGGTAGATATTTTATTTTATGGAATGTGGTTAAAGGTGCCATATGTACTTTTAAAATTTGTATTTAAGGAGGAGATCTCCCTTTCAAAGAGTATAGATATTTACTCATAGCAGTAGAGGAAGGCTCAGTACTGCTGTACCTTACAGGCTGTATTAATCCTTTATCAGATTACATGCAAGCTCAGAAAGGGGTCTGTTAACCATAACTGCTTCTGGACAAAAATGTAGCATTTTAATATCTTAATTAAATATTTGATGTAGATCAATAATGCTTTACTTACAAATATTTCTACGAATTCTGACATAGTTTTTCAATGATATTGTAGTTCTTTTTAAAATTACAACCCATTTCTTTCAAAATAAAATTCCCTACTTCATGGACATGCCAAAAAATAGACACACTCGATATGAAGCAGTAAGGAAATACTGTTCAACATATGGAAATGCAAGGAAAAAGTAATTCGCTTCTGTTAAGGACGGTGCTCTGACCACCAACATCAGAACAGACAGTGAAGACGGGCATTGTAACTTCTTTCTTGTCCAAAATGCATGTTTTCCAACGTAGAAAACAATTTCCCTAGTAGGCAACTAGGAAAAGGAACTAAGAAATGATTTTTAAACCATCACACATTTTTGGATCAAGTCGAGATGAAGATGTACTTCTTGTTTACAACAGTATTTCAACAGGTAATTAGTAATAACTAATGCATGTTAGTCATTTTCCTTCCCCTTCCGAAGTTAAAAAATTTTCAACCATGGACATTATCCAACATTATCTCTGGGGCTAATTTAACATAGTTGAACAACTGACTGCTAAATCACTATCTATTAAGTAGAACAGTATAGGCAAGAATGACAAGAATACAACACTGCATGACTGAACACAATAAATAGCAACTTCACGCAGCAAAACTATGCTCTTTCAGCAAGGGTAAAAAGGTGAAGATTAATAAAGGAACCACTTTATTTTTCAATTTGCAGCTTTAGCAGTTAAAAAAAAAATAATATGAAAAGTGAGTGTTGTAATTATTGCACACCTTCAACAACATTCATTGTATTTTTCTTCTGCAGAAACTTCTAATATTGGACAAGAAATAAATATTGTACAGGGTAAAATATTTTTTTTGGATAATAAAAGTAAATAAACAATAGAGACTTCTCCTTAATATCTCTATTGCTGACATGAATTTCAACTTTTTGCCAAGCCCTAATCTCTCCCCGCTATCTCTCAAGTAAAATACTTTTTTGGTAAGCAAAAATTATGACAACCTTTACTGAGATGCACCGAGTAAAGGCAGAAATGACAGAACACAAAACTGAGAGCCACTATATGTAATAAAGGAAAAGATCTACAGTAAAATTTCCCATCCCAGCGGCTATCTTGAGAGGTGTGAGGATTTTTCCTGGCCTCTCCTCATGGCTGCTCAGTCAGCAGTAAGGAAGACTTACTTACACAAGATACTCCAACTGGATTAGACCTGGCAGAAGCTGTCACAGTCCCACGCCTGCACCCATCCTTCACTCCACACTTTGTTCCCATGGTTTAAATATTTACCTACAAGTCTAAAGGTCTACAAGCCACTCCCAGGACCTCCATGACTCGCTCCACAGCTCCATCATATCTAGATTGCATGCTTTTTATGGAGGAGGGATTGTGGAGTTATTTACCTGACATGTCAGCTGTCCTGTCATCAGGTGATGCAATGAATAAGCTACACTGCCATCAATCCTTTCTTGTAAATTGAGGATTCAGAGGAAAGTATTGTGGTTACCTTTAAAAAAGCAAGTAAACCACTAAAAATTGCACTGACATTTAACTCTGCTAGATACTATACTACAACAAAGAAAATTATTCTAAGTGACGCACTGTGATTCAGAAAAGAAAATGATAATTGAAACCAGTCAGAAATACATGATCAGTGTGTCACCACAAAGTTAGGTAGGGTACTAAATGCTTCCTCAAGCATTTGTCTCTAACCTATTTTTTGCCAGAAGACAAATTTTGGATGTGAGATAATCCTTTTTAAGTTCAACATATTATTAACATTTTTTCAAAGGTTTATGTAAGATCTCTAACAAACTTGTATGATGTTGATTCTCACTGTGTGATGAAGGTCCTCTGTAAGAAGGACTGCTCTGTGGAATAAGTACACAGACTCCTTCACACTCTGCAGTCCTACTCATAATTAAAATTATCACTAAAGCAAATTAGATACTTACTGTAGTCATATAATAGCTTATAGAGTAAAGAGTTACTGCATTTTCTACTGAGATCTGTTTATATTAGTAGGCTGTAAACTGTTAGTTAAAATAAACAGCGCTCAGTAAACCAGCACCTTTATTGTCCTTTGAGTTAAGCAATCTCAAGTGCCTTACAAACACAAAAGTCACTCCAAACCATCACCATTACTTAAAGCCAGCAATTTTTTGAACAACATTTGAGTAAGCAGTAATAGGCAAACAAGAAATCCACCTCACTGCTGCACACAGTCGGCTGTCCTGTTACTGTTTGTTCTTTCCACAGGCAACACACATACACAGCCAGGAAACAAAACATTATTTTCTCACTCCATTAGATGTTCTTAATTATTTTTTAAATACATATAAATATTTTGGGTCTTCATAAGAGACAAAAAACTGCTCTGGGAACTTCCCCTACCACACAACTCCTACACAAGTTGCTAGGAGTTATGCTTTTACACAACACCGTACCAATGCACATTGTGATCTCCAATGACAAAAGTCATCCTCTTCCTCAGGAACTATAACCTGCATCTTTCATTCTAGCAGGACATT